TTTTTCACATCTTTTTTAAGTTTTGGTTTCGTGGTGGGAATTTTGGTGGGTTGAATCAGAGAAAAATGGTTTTAGTTTGGGAATATTGTTTATGGAGGGAAGGTTGGAGCCGGAATCATATTTCATGCTTCTTTTTTGTTTTTGTAAGGCTTGAAAAATGGCTGCTGTGAAAATTACCCATAGAAAAGCGCGCGTTTTTTAATTTTAATTCTGTACAAATTGGGGCACCACCGCACGAGGAGGGAAGAGTTGAACATTTTACTTTTACAACTGGAATGGGCTGGACCTTACCATTTTCACTATTCCTCTGATTGGAATTCAGCCTTTTTGGTTGGGCTTTAACGGTGTATACAGTTTTACTCAATTCGAATTTGACAATATCTATCCAATCTGATCCAGTTGTCATTAAAGTATTGGAGCAATAGTAATATTGAATAAGAATGGTTATGATCCAGATCGAATCGGATTTTCGGTTCACTTAAATTTGATTCGAGTAAAATATCTTTTCAATAGTAATTCAATCCGATCTAGGTTTAGAGAAAATTTAACCGGTTTGAAATTTGACCCGATTTTTAAGGTAAAAATTTATACTTAATATGATTCGACACATTATTTTTATTAGTTAAAATAAAGATCTAATTAAAATATATATAGATAAAATGATATTATAAAAATCATCCCTAAATATATAAGGGTCAATTATATAGATAAAATGATATTATAAAAATCATCCCTAAATATATAAGGGTCAATTATATTATTATTTCGGGGCATGTATATTTCACCTTAAATCCAAACCCGATCAACCTTCTCTTTCAAAAAATTCAATCTGACCCGATTTATAATTTAAAAAAAATATATTCTATATAATCAAGTTAAAGCGGTCGAGTTTGGGTCAAAATGCCTATCCCTAGTATTGAAGCGTTGGTGCTTTTACTAATAGGTTAGGGTTCAAAAATCTTACCATGAGAAACTGTAAATCATATTAAACAATCTACATGATTTAATGAAGTTCTAGATTGATAACTGTTCAGTACCTACAATTGATTGCATTGTAAAGTTTCAGTTACTTCAATGAGTAATAGAAAAACACGCATCCTGTTTCTGATAATTGAATGGAGCAAGAACATATCAAATAAAGCAGGGGAGAAGTTTGAATTACCATGCGTCTTTATGTATGTGTTAGAGATGAGAAAGATACCTTATATGGGCATACAAGTGTGGTCCGTGCCTCCGATCAAGTACTCAAGTTGGCATTTCCTTGGAAAGCAATAGCTCAGCAAATTTCTGAACCACATGAACGTTCTTAATCGTGAAGGAATGTGCAACACTAATTACAACAAATGTAAGCAGAGAAAATCTTATGAATGCAAAATAATACAAAATGGGAAGGATATCTTCTCTTTATGGATGGGATGGTTAAGCATCAGTAAATTGCTGTTGTTCACAATAGCCCGAACCATGAGTTCTTTGGCTTCCTCGTGTTTCTTTTTCAGAATGTTGCATATCTGCGAACAAAAACATCAAATTTATACCAAATATCTCATCCTCTGATGTGTTTTATTTTGAAATGAAATGCATCATTAACATAATATAAAATTCAAAGAACCATCTTTTGCTTGATGTGTTTTACTTACATCATCAAGCTCCTTTCCATAAGCTTCAGCCTTTTCCACATTTTTATCATGTTCTATGACCGAAGAAAACCCCAGTTCTGTCATAATCACCTCTCGAGGAATTTCAGATCTGGAGGTCAGATGATCACAGAGAACATTCTCTATTGAAACCTCCATGCAATTGTTATGATCTTGAACCTAGCATAGCCATTTAATGTGATTAAAGTCAAGAGTTTACCAAATATTTTCCGCCCTTTTTATGCAGAAATGTTTAAGTTCGGTTGAACTGATACCTCTTTATTAGCAACTCTTTCAAAAGATTCTGTATTCCTGCAGATTTGTTTAAAAAAATGTGTTATTCTAGCGAAGAAGACTGCGGATTGGTTAATATGTGTGTAGAGTTCAAAAGCAGCAAGACCTGCTTTCAGTTGGTGATTGCGAAATCCTTTTGAGGGGTTTCAACAATACCCTGTCTCTATTTGATTCCTACAGAACAGCTTTGAGAGAATATTAGTGATACATCGTATTAACTACATGAACACAATACTATTTCAATGACGTCATATTTAAAGATAATTCTACACTTTTTGGTGAAAAATATAATTTTGCATCAGAAAAATATGAGAGAACCTGAAATGTTTTCCGCTTCAAGGAAGGGAGCTTTGGTGTTTGTTTCTCAGGAAAACCAGCAGGAAGGACAATCTTTGATGTATTTCCTGGGGTATCCTTCTTTCGTTCTAATTTTCTCAATGAACTGGTTTCCTTCTGAGAACCCAGAGGATTTACCTTTGTTCCTATACTTCTACATTGAGAAGAGGCCAAACTTCATTACAAAAAGTTAACCGAGAATCCCTCATATAAAGGCCTTAAAAAACATCTAGCTTGATAATTCAGCATCACACCTTGTGCTTTTGAAGCTAGAAAGAGTAGATGCTTTCTTGGCAATTTTATGTGCTTCAGAATGAAATTTTGAGATCTGAACGGAGTCTATTTTTGGAACCTGGAGATTGGGATTCACTGATGTGTGGATACTAGATTCAGTTGTCTTCTCAGCATGATTAGGGGATTAGCATTCAAACTGCAAGGAATCCAAACAAGTTTGCACAGTTAGTCCACAATTTCTTACAGGTTCCAAAGAAAAAACAAATAGATCAAGTAATAGAAGATTCTAACTACAAGATAATATGTGTATTAAGTTCTTCAAAGGAACCACCAAAATTATCACTACTACCATAAATGCCTCACCTGATATCACTAGAACGTCCAATATTGTTTTCACTTTTAAGCAAAACAGGCCTCCCTTCTTTTAAGTCTTGTGAATGTAATTTTGAATAATCAATCAGTTTTCTTCCACTTTGTGCTTCACTAGCTTCAGAGCCCTCCCTGGTGAAGATGCAAATAGTCTAAAAAGCCTGTCTATCTTGGAAAACACTACTTAAAGTTATTAGAGAAAGCATGTCACACCTTTTCTCATATGTGGTGTATAAATGCATGTCACCAATTTTTTTCCTGATAAATGTGGAAACCTCTTTTCCAGTTTCTGATGGCTGATGCAATTGAGATTTGTTTTCCTCTGGTCTTCTGAAAAACCTTGAGCGAATTTCCCCAGCTTCTTTGTCTTTTTCTGCAGAAAGTTCAGCGGCTGTTGGTTCACTGCATCTAATAAATCAAATTTAGCTGCAGTTCTAGACTTTTATAAAAGTTTTAATGAATTATCAGTTCTAATCGTAGAACATGTTAGTATCAATAGCAAGCGTTTCTCAATCAATGTAATTTTTAGTAGTTACAGTAGCAGATACAGTTATGTATATTTCTTCTTTTCAATCCTCCAACAACTAATATATTATTAAAATCATTATCAACGATACCTCCATTCACATAGTTCAACTAGAAAATCACAAATTAGAGCACTTCAATAGTTAAACAAGGATGACGCATTATTACAAGAATTTTCAATTATCTGACCTGTCCAATGAAACAGAAGGAAGTTTGGGAGCCGGAGTCTGGATATCCTTCCAGGGTGCAATATTGTCTAAATTTTCTGTTGATAAGCTTGAAGTGGAACCTTCCTTCACAACTTTTTCGTCTTGCACTAATTGGTTTTCTTCTATTTCTGCTTGAATATTGCCACCTGTCCCATTTCTTTCATCTCTATAATTCTCTGATAGCGGAAATGAATTCTTCTGGTGCAACTTTTCATGAATGGAATCCTCATTGATTACCACTTTGTCACTGACATTTTTCTCTGAACCTGAACTGGTTTCTTTTCTTCTTCCCTGAGAACAAACTTCTGCCTGAACGTCTGAAATAGTTTCAGGGTTTGAATTGTTCCCACTGCAGGAATCCATGGGTGACCATTGTAAGGACTGCTGATCATAGAGTTCTGATGCAACGTCCTTGTCTGGAGGACTTGATTTATATGTTTCTTTGGCATTGGTTTCCTCAGATTTATCTGGAACATTTCTTGATTCTTGTGCCGTAACCAATTTTTCTGGATCAGGTCCCTGTGCAGGAACTTCTTTTGAGGGACAAGGGTTATCTATGGAATCACAAGCTTCGGCTCGACCCTTGGACGTCTCAGCCTTTGAATTGGCTGCATCCCTTGGTTCTGGAAGTCTTGCAGTTATGCAATCATCCTCTAGTGCCTGGTCAACTTTAGAAACGCCAATACCCTCTGAAGCAGATGCTTTGCTTTCCTGGTTTTTCTTACGAGTCTTCTCTCCTTTATTTAGGGTTGAATCAAAATCAAAGTCATCCAACCTGCAACAGATACGATGTACAGGCTAAAAAATAAAAATGATTGTGAAATAGACGTATATCTTCCTGCAAAACAATATTAAAGCAAAAGCTTAAACATGTGACGATTGAAACATAAAAGAACTATACACTCACTCATTGAAATTAAAAGAGAAGTTTAAGCCATTTTTTTTCTCTTGTTGCTTCCCAGTATCAGTTTCCTCTTTAGGTTTTTCCTTTGCTTTTGCATCCTTTTTTGCGGGTGATGAGAAATCAAAATCAGGCATGTCCCGTTTGAATGATGGTAACTTGCCAAAATCGTCATCCAGATTAAAATCGTCATCCCTGAAAAGAACAAATATCTTCATACCTCAGTAATTCATCCGACTGGTAGAAATAATTTCTGCTGCAAACAGCACAAGGGTGAGTGATGACATCCATACAGAGAAGGCACCAAAATTGGTAAAGTGAAGTAACAAATAAAAGAAAGACAATACATTAGTACACTATTCCATCATATGATATGCAGAATAGACAAACTGTGCTAGGTTCTGATGCCATATAACGAGACCCTCATTTTTCAATGACAATTAAAACCCCAAGAATTGGGAACACTTACACCTTGTCAAAGTTGAACGCCTTTTTATTGCCCCTTGTGGTTGTCTCAAAGTTAAAATCCATATCATCATCTTTCATTTTCCAGGAGCTAAGGAAATCTTTACCAATATCCTCATCTGTTTTAAGTGGAAAGTGGGTTCTCAGTACACACGTCTTATGAATTATTGAAAAAGGTGATACTAGAAAGACTTACTGAATCATCTTTTAGGATTGATTTACTTAACTTTTCTACTCTTGGGAGATTCCAGAGAAATCAATCATAAAAGGTTAAGGGTAGTGTTTCTAATAACGTCTTCATTAAGAAACCACAGTTAATCATAGCTACCCAACTACTATAGAGTTGCAATCTCTTGTTAATTTTTTCATTCATTCTAAAGCATTTTTTTCTTATTTTTAGAATGCCAAGGAATACCTATCACTGATATTTTCTCCTTTGATTTTGAATCCACAGCTGAAGAAGTTGCCTTCTTTGGCTCTGCCATCTCCAAGCAACATTCATAAATAGTTATTTTCAACTGCAGTCATCAAAAAGACTTGAGAAATCAATATGAATTGGAATAGGAAAGAAAGCCAAGAAACAAATTGGTGTTGCAGCAGCGTACCGAATATTCTTAGTTTTAATCAATGACGTCAAGTGTAAGAAAAAGAAGAGATGGTATGATACTTTAGTTTCACTACAGGCAAGTAAAGTATCAACATGATAGAAACAGTTGGATGTAAGCAAACGAGATCAACCACATTTGAATCATATGCTGTTGTTGATCACATTACAATTCAGAAGGAGCAACAGTCAATGGACCAAACTTCAGTCATGCTATCGTAGCAGTTCACTTATTAGATGTAAGCAAACTAAGCGCTTTAGTGGTTATGGAGCAACGGGCTACCTAACACCTATGAGGTTCCTTTTCAAATTTATAACATACAAAATATTTCATAATTCATTATAAAGCAGTTATACTAGCAACTTCTCATAATCAAATTAATTGAGAAATCCACCATCAATGAGATCTAATATTATTAAAGCAATGTAAACATAAACTATGCATTTACAGTAAACGAGTAATTAGTAAAATCAAGCTCAAACACAACATGATTATATATAAAATCAAAATACCTGAGCTGTTCAACAACAACAAAAATCCAGGCCAAATGGGAAACATGAAAGAGAAAACACATTCAATAGAAGGAAAATATAGAGACGGTGATAATCAAAGAAACACATATGAGCTAAAATTGAAACGAAACTGATTCAAAGCCTAAAATGGCTTCAAATTCACCAAAACAATCGATCAGCGAAATGACGTTATCTAAAGGGAAAACGAAAGGTCAATTCAAATCAATTTTCTGAAAAATTAAAAACAAATTCTTAATAAATCGATCTAAAATTTAAACTCTAGAATGTTGCAAAATCTAAATAAACTCTAGATCTTTAATTTTACAAGGTGTACTGTTTGAATTGGAGCGAGAGAAAGTGAGGAAACTTGCGTCGTTAATCTTGGTGAGAAATTGTTAGAAAACGAGGCTGTTTGGCAGGAAAGAAGATTGGGGAAGGAAAATGTGGGTTTTGTTGGCTTCCCTTGCGTTCAAATGTGCTCTGCATTTATACTATAGCTCCAATTGTTGACGAGGCGGGAGCTTGTGGAGTGAGGACAAGCTTTCAAGTAACCGTTTCTTAGGTCAAATTATTTTATTAGTTCCTATACTATATAAGAGGTATAGATTTAATCCTTATGCTCTCATTTGATATTTTTAATCTTCATACTTCTTTGAACAATATTAAATAAAGTTTAAACCATAAAATGATGCTCGTTAAGTCAAATAATTTAAATTCTTTTAGATTTAATTTTATTTGATTCAATCTCGTACTCAATATTATATTCATTAGCATAATATTAATAATTAATTTAAAAATGTTAAAGTATACTCCCTCCGTCCAACTAAATGTATCTTTTTTTTGTTTTTAAAATTATCTCATTCAAAGTATCTTATTAGAAAATTTAACAAATAACAACACTTATATTTCTTTTTTTATCTTTATATCCATCTATTTTATACTTATCAAAACAAATTTGTTAAATTTATCAATCATCTTTTAGGGATAATTTTATCATTTCTCTTGGTCAAATATATCTCCTAAAATTATGTGCATAGTCAATATCAGACACAAATAATGGGATGGAGGGAGTAATTAATTTTAAAATAAATAAATAAATCATCATTAGGTTATCTCAAAATATTTTTTTGATTGTTACCAATAGAATTGAATTAAGTGGTATGCATCTTGATATACTTAAGGTCTAGAGTCTGAGTTCTTGTGTATGCAGAAAATCCTCGTTAGGATACTCACTTATCATAATCAGACGTATTACGTAGGTCGATCTGGATTAATTAATACGAAATCTTGAAATCGAGAGAGCAATTAAAAAATATTTTTCATCGTTTAAGGTTTAAAAAGTTATAAAGTGACTATTAACAATTTTAAATAATTTTAAAATAATTATTAGTTTTTACTATATTTCCAAAAGATATTAATTGTTATTAAATAATTTTTTATATAATTTTTTAATAATCCATAATAATTATAAAATAATATTTATTTATAATTTTTAACCGATTGATGACCCCGTACACCTAGACAATTATTTGAACTTAAAAAAGTTAAGATCAACATTTTATTTAACCAGTCGCTTGATGGGTTAATTATTTAATAGCTATTTTAAATACTTCACCATTGATTTTATTTTTATAAATTTATTTTTGAAAATAACGTTTGTATTGGTCTGCTTAGAGGTACTTAACGAGTTGAGCAGTTCGTGAGTAATTTGAACTCGATTTGGTTAAAATTCGATAAAAGTTTGATTATAGTTGATTCGACTCGAGATCTTAACGAGTTAATACGAACAAAGTCTAACTTAACTCGATAAATTAATGAATAACTCGTTAATTTTTTAATAATTTTTTGTAGTTATTTTAAAAAAATATTTAATTCAAAATTTATTAATTTTCTAATTAATTATAAAACATAATAAATGACTAATCTATTAATTTATATAGTTTTTTTAACAAACACGGGTTAAATAACTCATTATCGCACCCCTAGATCTGATATTCACAAGATGACAAAAATCAAAGGCAACGAAAGAATGAAAACCTATCATCTTATCCGGACATAACAAACCAATAAGAAACCATGTCAAGCTGCAAGTTTCAAGCAATCACAAAACACTGTGACAATCACAGCTGCACAACATTCACTCACCCCGTTAAAACAAAGAAAGAAACAACCACAATTGCAGGCGGCAATGGCTTCCGTGCTTGGAACCTCAACCGCAATCTTAGCTTGTCGGTCTCTCGTTTCTCCTTCCTCAGAGCCTGCCATCATTCCCTCTATCTCCATTAACCCAGGTACATTTCTCTATCGACTTAATTCAACCGCGTACTTTGCTTTACCAATGAATTCGGGCTTTGGGTAAGATTTTACTGCTTTAGTTACTGTGGTACAGGGCAGGGTTCTGGGAGGAAACTGTACGGGGGAATTGGGATTCAAGGTAGAAAGAGAAGGCATCGATTTCATTTTGCAGTAACTAATGTCGCCACTGAAGTTAACCCAGTTGAACAGGTATCTAATTAACTTTTTCATTTGAAGAAAGTGTTTGTTTTTTAGGGGGGTTTTTTTGTACTTATATGGCGCCCGGAGAATTGGGTATTTGAAGAGCAGGTGTATACTATTTGAATTCATGTGAATGAAGCTTGTGAAGTAATGATTTTCAGGCTCAGAAGGTTGCTGCTAAAGAGAGTCAGAGACCAGTGTTTCCATTTGCTGCTATAGTAGGACAAGATGAGATGAAATTGTGTCTTCTGTTGAATGTAATTGATCCCAAGATCGGTGGTGTCATGATAATGGGTGATAGAGGAACTGGCAAGTCCACAACTGTTAGGTCCTTGGTCGATTTACTGCCGGAAATCATGGTAGTCTTCAGTGACCCTTATAACTCCGACCCCGAAGATCCTGAAGCAATGGGTATAGAAGTCAGGGAGAAGATCACAAAAGGAGAGGAACTGGCTGTTACAATGACTAAAATCAACATGGTTGATTTGCCATTAGGTGCTACTGAAGATAGGGTCTGTGGAACCATTGACATTGAGAAGGCCCTCACAGAGGGTGTCAAGGCATTTGAGCCTGGGCTTCTAGCTAAAGCTAATCGAGGGATTCTTTATGTCGATGAAGTTAATCTTTTGGATGACCACTTGGTGGATGTTCTTCTGGATTCCGCTGCATCAGGGTGGAATACGGTTGAGAGGGAAGGTATTTCGATATCGCATCCTGCACGGTTTATTCTGATTGGCTCGGGTAATCCAGAGGAAGGGGAGCTTAGACCGCAGCTTCTTGATAGATTCGGAATGCATGCTCAAGTCGGAACAGTGAGGGATGCGGAGCTTAGAGTGAAGATCGTAGAGGAGAGAGGTCGGTTCGATAAAAACCCGAAAGAATTCCGTGATTCTTACAAGGACGAGCAAGAGAAGCTGCAACAGCAGATTGGTTTGGCTAGGAGTAATCTTTCTTCTGTTCAGATTGATCAGGACCTGAAGGTTAAAATATCAAAGGTTTGTGCTGAGCTGAATGTTGATGGATTGAGAGGAGATATTGTCACTAACAGAGCTGCAAAAGCTCTTGCAGCTCTCAAGGGAAGAGATAAAGTCACTGCAGAAGATATTGCCACTGTCATCCCTAACTGCTTGAGACACCGTCTTCGTAAGGATCCTTTAGAGTCTATCGACTCCGGTTTACTTGTTATCGAGAAATTCTACGAGGTTTTCGGCTGAGAGATGCACACACACGTCATTTTTTTCTAAACTAGTTGATTCCGAGTTGTTTTGCCATGTAATCTTTTCATACAATCAAACATTATGAGACATTCAGATCAATGTAGATTCTTGGTCTCATCTAATCATGTGAAAGAAGGTAAAACGAAGGATAGATTGCTTTGAATGAATACCCTGTTTAGGTTTCGGATGGATTATTAGATTTTTTGTACTTGTATTACATAGTTATGCAATACAAGGCAACTTCATTCAATCCATAACAGTAATTTTGTTCACATCTACAATGTAAATTGCAGCTATTTCATTTACCAAACAGATGAACGGTTGAAGAAGATGCTAAAAGAGTTCATAAAATAAATATTCACTACCTTGGACAAAAATAGTTAACAGTTATAACGTTCCAAGTGAAGGGTCCAAACCAATCTCTTCGTTAGTCTCTCTAGTCGCTGCATCAAAGTACACAATGTATGGCAAATTCATGTCGATTCATACCATAATATACTATAACTCAATCTAGCACACAACTCAAACCGACCCAAGTGAGTGGATATTCTTAAAGCTCTTTTGGTTAGTATGACAGCAAATCCCAACGATGCCATTTATCGATGATGCAGCTCTTTTGCTGTCGTCTGAGGAACTTGCTGGGGATTTGTAATGATGCAGCTGTTGAGCTAAAAATCTAACAGTCTCCACAATGGAAACGAAGGTGACTCGCCAGTCGGAACAGAAGATGATGTAGCCATGATCAGGTTGACCGTGCGGAGAGCCCTTCTAGAACCGATATATACCTTCACCTGCTTGGAGTTGAAATCTTTCACAATCTTTATTATTGTCTTCACATAACTGAATGCAGATATAATCAGAAACAACAGCAGACAAAAACTGGAACACGAATAATTCAGATTAGTGTAATAGCAAAGATCTTAAAGAGATAAACAAAATGCGGGGACAACAACAGTAGCAGATGTGGTAAAGGAGGAGGAGAGCCTGAAAATCAAAAGAGAAGAAGAAAATGACCTAAAGATGGTCCCAGCGGGGCTCGAACCCGCGACCTTCGGCTCATAAGACCAACGCTCTAACCAACTGAGCTACGGGACCTTGCTGATAAGCAACTTAAAATTATAATATATTTTCATGATTTAATCTGTCCTCTCTTTGCACATTCAAATTGTAATTTTTGAAGTTTAGTCTCTGTAGTCTTTTGATTTAATAATTCACTTTTTGTATTTAAAGAATTTTTCGTTAAAATTAAGTGCCTAATTTTTTTTCTCCGCTATACTTTTAGGTGACTACTATTAAAAAAATCATTAAATGACATGTGTCATGTTCAGATTTTTTAAAAATATATATTTTCAAATAATATTTTATTTTTAAAAAATAAAATGTATATAAATATGACACATGCCACTTAACTAGTTTTCTTTTTAACGGTAGACATCTAAAAGTATAACGGAGAAAACATTAGACACCTATTTTTAACGAAAAATTCTTTAGGTACCAAAAATCAATTTGAGTTGCACCTAAAAATGTAATAAGCCTAAAATAAAACAATAAGTTATTTCCATCAAAATATTTCCTTTTCAAATCAAGATTTATTTTGATTAAATTTTCTTTTGAATTAGAATTTGAGAGTTTTCAACTTCCGATACACTCATTTCATTTATAGAATTTGAATTTTCTTCAAACTAAAACAAATATAAGTAAATGAGACTTAATGTAGGCATCTCTGCTGGTCCTAGACCGATTCAAATGTCCAATTTAAAATAGGAACACACATAAATGGAACCAATTATATATTTAGTTAATATCCAAACCTTATCCTGTGCCTTTGTTTGCACCTAAAATACTCCACCATGTAATGAGAATCCATGTTCATAATGGCATGTGATAAAGACTAATTTACGAGAATAATGTATATCTAAAAATGAATTATCGTAATAATATTTAAAAATATCTAAAGAAATAGTATATGTTTTGATCTGGTAGTAGAAAGTCACATTAAGTTAAACGTGTATTTATTCTACGTGAATTGATACAATATGTATGTTGGGGTTTTATTTCATGTTATGAGAGAGTCATATATTGTTCTATGCATATAATATTACCCACATTAGTATTCTTAAAAAAATAATCATTTAAATTTTTATTTAAAATACTAAATGATATATGAACTTTAGTTTTATATAAATATAATGTATAACTTTAATTGGATTCATTTACAAACTACTGGTATAATCATTAACATAACACTATTTTATGTATACGCAAACAATTATATATAGGCTTAATACTTAAATAAGTGTCCAAACTATACATAAATTCTCGAATATGTGCCTAAACTATTTTTAGATCTATCCAGATGTCTAACGTTATAAACGTTACTCATTTAGATGCTCAGGCTGTCAACGATGTTAATTTTCCCTGTTAAGTGACCTGTGTCACAATATGGTGATTTTGAAATTTAGATTTTTTTAAATATTATTATATTTATAAAAAAAACCCTAATTTCTCTTAAATGATAAAAAAGGTCCCAAATACCTAAAATCCTTACATGCTATCCTTAACCCTCTACCGCCCCCTTTCCGATCACGATCACGACCGCCGCCGCTGACATAGTCCCTACCATCGTCCTAGTCATACGCCGTCGATTGGCCTTCGAGATCGCGTGGGATCACGATTTTTATCCTAGGGTTCGTTGGGTATAAAATATTGATTCACCATTGGCCAGTCATGATTTCATGGGGGTTTTGGTCGTTGGTGGGAAATGAGGTCGGATGGAGCTTCGTCGATAATAAAGGGAGATGGCCAATGTGGGTTTAGGGGTTGAAATGAAGGTTTTCAAAGTTTTTAGGGCTATTTCAAAATATTTTTTTAAAATATATATAATTTTAATTTTTTTATTTTAAATAAAAATTTTTAAAAGCACCAGATTGTGACACGTGTCACTTAACGGAGAAATTAACGTTGTTAAGGCTCGAGCACCTAAATGAGTAACGTTTGTAACGTTAGACACCTAGATAGGTCAAAAAATAATTTAGGCACCAATTCGAAAATTTAACTATAGTTTGGGCACTTATTTTAATATTAAGCCTTAGATTTATCTCATCCTAAAGAGAAATAAGTTGTCAATAATCTCAATTTTCAAGCCAAAAAAATACTTGAACAAAATCAAACATTTATTATGGTATTGTAAATTATGCTCATTAATTGTTATTTACTTTTCACAACTAAAATGAAATCTTTGTTATAAATAATCTTTTGGTTCCATTTGGTATTAAATCCTTTGATATTATGGTATTAGTAATCATCAATTAGTAGGAGATCTCAACAAGATTTAAGATATAAATTACGTAATAAAATATTTAAATTCGAATCAAATCAAATCTAAAATTTCAATTGAGATAATTTTTTTAAATACTGAATTGATCCAAATTAAGAGTAGATTAGAAAATAAACATTGGATTTGATTTGCAGTTTGACCCTCTTCTACCCTAGCAATAATTCAAATCAAATAAGAACACTCGTAAATGGAACTAATTGTATATTTAGTTAATATCAAAACCTTATACTGTGCCTTGTTTGCACCTAAAATATTTCATGATGCCATGAAGATCCTCATTCATAATGACAAAAGATAACGTTCTCCCTAACCCATGTGACCAACTACATTGCAATTGCCACAAATTTCAACCACACTTGATAATTTAATTGGGAAGAAAAACAGCAAGAACCGAGACAAATAAGATTTTAGGGCGAAACATGCTAGACATTAATTTATTCCCAAATTTGGTCTTAAGCTCACATCACATTATTTGGGTTAATTAATGACCTAATCTTAACATCAAAGATGTTTTTTTTTTCATTAGTGTGTCAGCCTGGCGATTTCCTTTTGTGTCATTTCATTTATTACCACAATTTTACAAATGTCTTTCCCATGCCAAGATTAGTGATTAGTGAAGGTTTTTTTTTTACTTAATTTGCTAAATCCTCATTATTTAATGGGATTATCTTCAAACAAAAGTTTCTTAAACTATATAAATTTGCAAATATAGAGAAATAAAGTATATTTATTATGAATATGGATCCAAGTGCTTTAAATTTGTGTTATTTTTGTCTAAATTTTCACAATGGATTTGCTGATGAGGAATCGTATTGTTTGGTCGAATTATGTTTTCCGCCCCTCTAGTCTTTGTACCTCTAAAATTTAACTTTTCTACTATTAACCATTAAAGTCATCTACTATTTTGACTAAGTAATTGAAGTCCGATCAATTATATAATTGCCAACGTGGCCCGATTAATAATAGTAAAAGTAGATATATTTATATTTTTTTCATGATTTTCACCTTGCTTTAAATTGATTATATGAAAAGTTTTCATTACCAAAACTTAATAAAAGTATGTTGGTGTTATAAATCGAACTTCAATTATTAAATCAGAATAACAAAGGAAATTTATTCCTAAAAACAAAAGTAAAGAAACTAAATTTCAAACACGAGGAGAGTCCAAGGACTAAAAGAAGGATTAGACCTATAATATTCCAAAACTTAGGAGGTAAGGCTTCAGCACAGAGAAAGGATGGGGTGCAAAAAGTACCTGTATATGACTATAGTATTATTTGAGTGGGCCCATAACAAACTCCTTTAAATTCCATGCAAATATGTTAGACTAAAGTGGGGGTGTGGCATTTACCAACTGCACATAGAAATGGAAAAGATTTTCAGAGATTTTTGGGACACATCAGCCATGGACCTTCCTATACAAATATCAAAGTTTCATATATTGACAAGTGAGAACAAAAAGAAAAAAGTATCAAAATCGAGGGACCAAAATGAAAACAAACAAAGGTTCGATGATTGCTAGGTTTTAAGTTACTTTTTTCTTTCTTTTCAGACTTTTTTCCTCATAAAATCTCGGAAAATCGAAGTAATGAATTTCAAGTTTTTCTAACATAGTATATAGTTCGGTTTTCTCTTTCCAAGATCTATTATCTGCTTAAAACATGGGCGGACTTTCCTTGATGCCACTTCTTCATTACGCATAGGTAGCCTCTTCCGACTCCACCTTTTGGGATTTTCAATTTTCCTTATATATATGTATGCCCCCGGTTTTTTCTTTTTGAATGATTTCTGTTTCTTCTTTTAGATTTATGATCTTGAAAAATTACTGGGGATTTCTTCTCTGTTGATCATCTATATTCTGATGTTTCGAGGCATGGCAGATGCGAGTGGCGTAGGTGATTATCATCGCGATCATGAAAGCTCCGCTTTGAGGAAGGCGAAGAAACAAAGAGTCCCCAAAAGAGGGCCTGGTGTGGCTGAACTGGAGAAGATGTTGCGTGAACAAGAGCAGAAAGATGATAACGGCAATGGGATTGGGATTGGAGGAATCTCTTCTTCTTCGTCGTCGTTAGTTTCATCACTTCCAGTTACTGCTTTTCATGGTAATGGCAATGGAATTTCACAGTTAGGCTCCAATGGTCGGAGTAAAGGAGTCTATGTCGGCGGATCCGGCGTGTTCTTGCCGGAACAAACCTTGTTGCCGATATCTTGGGGATTATCCTCGACATGGAAACACGAGGAAGCTCCTAAAATGGCTACTGGTTTCTCGTTTCCGTTGCTTGTTTCAAACGGATCTGTTCCTCCTCCTCCTCCTCCTCCCATGGTGCAGAAGAATCATCTTTCAGTGGTAAAAGCCCATTTTAGTTTTTTCTTATTAAATTTGTTATCATATTTCTACTTTCTTTTTTGGTGGACATTGACATGCATGTATTTTAAAACAGATGGATCTTTTTCCATTGTCTGCAATAACAACAACCCCATCATCATCTGCAGGGGTGTATCATCACGTAGAGCCCCCTTCAAACCAAAAACCTAGTCCTCACAGCTACATTTCTACACTGTTTCCCGAGGAAGACAAGGCAAGTGCATGCAAATTCTCCATCATTTACTTTTCTTCTTGTTTAAGTATACATAAAAATTATATCAGTTTCTTTTGCATGATCACGTATTCACGTTCTATTCGCTCAAATTTGGTTATTTGGAATTAGATAATCGGCACCAAGCGGCCAAGGCCTAGTTTCACCGTCGAGAGCTGGCGGCCGGCGCCTCCTAGAATGCAGCCGTTTCATTCTATCCCCCCACAGATTTCCAGGCTCGATGCTTTATCTTCGTCTAGCAACAATGGTGTCTTCAACTTTGGAATATCCCGGTCAGCTTCCCAGACTTATATTTTCATTTTTACCGTTAATGTTACCTTACATTCATTGTTTTTTTGTTTTACTTTCTCCATTATCAGAGATCCAGTGCCATTTCCAACGAGCCCATTGGAGCTGAAAGTGAGAACATATGCCAGTGACCATGGGAACCCTAATGCCAGTTCCAGTCGTCCAACAACTATTCAAAATTGTCAACCAGACTTGTCCAAATTCATCCACCAATTCCCTTTTCAAGTAAGATAGTTCAACGCGATTCTGTTCTCTTTGAATTTCCTTCTTTGGGGTTCTATCTAATTCAAAACGTTTTTTTTCTTCCATGAATTTCACAGGAAAACACTGAGGGGACTTCACTGCAAAGGCCATCATCATCATCAGAATCTGATGTACCAGTTTATAACAAGGGCTTCTTTAGCTTCTTATTGCAACCAGAAGATCTGCAAAGGGGTAGTACTTCGGCAGAAGCCTCGCTTTGTCTTAAACGGGAGGTTCGTTGTAATGAAAAAACAGGAGAGTTTATTGATCTCAACCTAAAGCTCTGAACTGGTGCATGTCTTGTAATGACCTCTTTAATTGGGGAAATGTAGTGCTCAAAACAATATTAGATTTATATATTATGCAAAGTACTAGAGAGGTTATGTTTTTATGGATGTTATAGATTAATCTAGAGAAATATTAGAGTTTAATCCTATATTTCTATTTTATGAGCTCGTTTCAAAATTTTTAATTCTAAAAAACGAAAAAAAAACTCCAGTAATTGAATATTTTAAGTTTATTAACTATATGTTAAGAGATTGGGATATAATTTTTAAATTAATTTTTTACTGTTTGTAATCCTCAGGGATAATAATGGACAGGATAAGTTAAAATTTTTGTTGTCGGCCCAAAAATTAAATTAAAGGCCATTCTTAGATTCATTTCGATTTTAATAGTGTTCCATTTTTTCAGTGAAAAATTTATAGTGATTTAATCTGAATAGAATGAATTTCACAATACTCATCATATTTATCACAAATGTGATAAAATAGAAGATTGTATAATGCGAATGAAATTAAAAGGCGTAACGAAAAGAAAGTAATTAAATAAATTGGAAATCAATTATTAGAAGATATGTAAACAATGCAAATTACAACATTTGATTTATGATTCAATAATTGATTTTAACATACGACAATCTAAACTCTTATTAAATATGTTGATTATAATTCTACAGAGACGTTCGAATGATTATTTTCATTGTTGATTAGATAATTCTACATAGACGATCTTAAGATTTATTTTATTCAATAACTTTATGAATTAAAGAGGTTATTCAAATTAGATCTTATATCACCATAACTCGTTTCTAGATTATTTTACTACTTATATTAGAACATGCTCATATTACAAATGAAAAAAATTTAATTAGTCGAATAAAGATTTAATAAATTAGAGTAATTAGTTTATGCAATTCAAAAACTAGTAATTAGTCTATGACAATGAATCTTTTAATTAGTTGATTAATAAATCATATATTAATAGCTAAATAGAAAATATAATTATAAGATTTTTTTTAAATCAACTATTTAGGTGAAATCTGAATAAAGGTTCATTTGGGGTTACGAAGAGTTTCTCTAAGGGTTCGGGGTCTATGCTTCTATGGTATACTGTTTAACCGATAGATTTTGATTAGATTATTATGTGAAAAGTAGTTTTCAATTAGGATTGAAAAGTATTTTTGAAAATATTTAAAAATTTTATTACTATATATATTCATTTTGTCATATTTTAAACATTTTTTGTAAATATTTTCCGAGGTTAATTTTCTAATCATACTGTTATATATAATTGTTATCGCAAGCGTATTATTCATATTTTGTTATGAATTAATTTAAGGCTTTTCAACTTAAACTTGCATAGGTTTCTTTGTTGTGTTGGTCTACTAAATTGATTAAACTAGTTGCATGGCTTATTGAGTAACTCGAGCTTCCATAGGTTACACTGATATTTATTTGTTATATTAATTTATTAAAGCCGACACATAGCACCGGTCAACACAGAGTTGTACTCGAAAACACGAGTTACATGGTGAGAGTGGAATCAAATGTATATCAAATGCCACTAACAATAAGTTTCTTTGAGTAAGATCAGAGAATCAAATTCTGGTGATTGCGAATGAGGTAAATTGGATTGGAAAATGATCGCTTTTGTCTCTGTAATATACGATCCGGATTAGTCGAACAATAGATCAGATACTGGTGGTTATACAAAAAAAATGTGTATATCAAATGCCTCTGCAATGGAGACAAAAGATGGCCACAAGGATGAATCCGAGAACCCAGAGGAAAAGAAAGGGATTTTGGAGAAGAGACCAGAGAAACTCCCTAGTAAGAACAAGAAAGGCGAAGAAGATGGTGCACATGATGGGCATCCTGCTGAAGGTGAGCCTAAGGAGAAAGGGATCTTGGAGAAAATCAAGGAGAAGATTCCAGGGTGCCATGGAAAAAGACTGAAGAAGATCATAAGGCCAACAAAAATGGAAAAGTTCAAAACTTCACAAATAAACTTACATGTGTGCTACCTGCAATTGTTTCTTTCCTGAGTTTTTGTAGTGTTTATTTACGTCTTGTCTCATGTTTGTGTTTTCTACAGGTTTCTATGTCATGGTTGATGCTTAATGTTTCTAGTGTTGTAATCTATTTAGGGGTGTAATTGGACTGGAAGACATAAGATTACGTTTGTCTTTGTATATTTATTTTTTGAAGTTATTTAATTCGTATTTGTTTGTTTTTGGAGTTGTTTAAGTTTGGTCTATTTAACATTCGCGAACATATTCGTTTATATGTTCAAAAAATAATGAATTATACTAGTCTTTAAACTCCTCAAACTTCAAAGTTTTAACTCCATAGTTCACTCCATATTCAATAAAAAAATAAAAATAAAAAAAGCGTGTTCGTAAAAATAAACAAACTCAACACAACTATGTTTTCGTTCGTTTGTTTACCAAATGCATGTAAAAATCTTGTTCATACTCATTTTATAAGAATTCTGGTTCATGGACTATTCATTGAACACTGTAATTCTCTTGAAGGAAATAATACCCTCCACTTCTGAAAGAAAAGTAGATCTATATTCATAAATTTGTCTAATCTTTGCAAGATTAAGACCATCCCAAGACATTGGTGAGAACATAAAGTAGCAGCAAAGACAGGGGGTATAACAGATACACCAAAACACATGTCCAGAACTGAAATTTGGTTCTGAAAGTGGCCAAAACTCCCATCGTCGTGCAAACAAGTAAAACTACCACAACCTGAGCCGACACACCCCATGAAATACCTCGTGCATATATAGTCCATCACATTGTTCATGAACACCGCACCATACACCTCTGAAAACGTTAGAGACGCAGCCTTTTCGGTCTTCTCTCTAGCCGAAGACACAGCCCTGAATCCTTGCCTGAAATGCAAGGCCAAGGGCACCACGACGTACGAAACCATGAACGAAGGCACGTTCGCCGACTCCGAGAATCCGACGAACGCCGCCACTAGGGGCTTAGAGAGCATGATGGTAGCGGTAGTCCCCAAAGTGACGAGAAAAGCAGCTTCGATGTAATTCCACCATGGTTGGTTGTTATTGACCTTGGCCCGAGCGCGAAACAGTTTTACATCATTATTTGCCTTGTTAAGCCAATTTGAGATTCCTCTCACGAATTCAGTTCCCTTTATGTTGGAATCACCAGAGGTGTCAAACTCCTGCATGATTTTGTTCTGGAAATCTTCTTCGTCCAGCCCCATCTCTTCCATTTGTATTCCCAGTATGAAGGCTCCAAGTTCAGCTGACGATATAAATGAATTATTTTTCTTATCGATCTTATGAAACAACCTGCAGTGGAGATTTTGAGTAAACATGTCACCAGGTCAAACTGTATGTAAGAAGATAGCTGAATGACTAGCTGCCTGTGCTTATGAAATCATAGCCACTAATCTTCATTTTCAAACCAATAGATTGAATAAATTAATCTTTTGAATATGTTAATTAAATTAATTAAATATAATATTGAATACATTTTTATTAATCTTTTAACATTTTGTAAAGTTTTAAATATTTTTTGTTGTAATAATTTGCTTTTTTTTTATAATATTTCTTTTGCTTTGGTTAGCCAGTTGAAAGAATGTCGCATGGTTGGTACTTGGTACACTTTTATCGTATATCATGACTTTTAAAAATTCATAGTTGGTGACAGCTGTATACTTTCTGTATTTTTATCTACTATAATTTAAATATATAGAACTTTTTAAAATTTAAAATGTATATTTTATTTTTGTTTGTGTTTTGGGATCAATATGGATCGAGTTTTTGATAAACTCGATCCGCTTAAAAAAATATATATCTCCCATTTAACAGTTGATACGAAATTAGAGAAATTTCACTCAAACTAAAATTTAGCTTATTTGGTAAATTACGCATCTAACTTAACACACACATATTCAATAAAATGGAGGTCTCATGGGAAAATTTATTAAAATAATATATAGAGAAATATTATTGTAATTATTTTTAAATATGTAAAAAAACTATACTATTTTTTCAAATTAAATTAAATCGGTTGGTTTTTTTTATTTTAAATTCAAACCCGATTCAATTTAAATTTATCTTTTAAAAAGTTTCGACGTAACACGAACTTATCTTTTAAAATGTTCAACATAAACTTAGATTATTATTATTATTTTTTGAAAAAAAAAGCCAATCTTATAAAATCAAGTTGAATTAAAACTTATCAGATATGAATCTCATAAAAATCCCAAACTGTGCCCCATAAATTCAAAGATAAAAATAAAGAGATGAAGAAGACATTACCTTTTAATTTGGAGTTCATCTGGCCTTCCATTAGGAGAAACAAGTGTACCCAACAAGTTCCTCTCTATATATTTACGCATCAAATATTCAAGTCTCCTGTTCTGAATCCACGGCTCAAACACCTGCAAATCAACTCCCCCAAACTCTCATCTCATCTGGATTTCTACATCAAATCATTTAAAAACCCTTGCGTACCTGATAAGTGCAGTAACCGGCTAGCAAAGCAAACGAAGTGAGAAGAGAAATCAGGACAATGGCACGCCTTGCAGAACTTAGAATTTTCGCCAGCTGAAGAATCAGAAATGGAATCATGGAGAGAAGCATGATCATTGCACTGTACTTAGTTTCAGCATCGGTTCTCACACCATAGCCTGCTCAGATATGAAAAATAAATGAAAATGACCCGTAAAAGTTGTTTGATTATAGAACAAATTCAAGAGAGGGACAAACCAGTTAAAGTAAAGGGGTGGTTGTTTAAAGATCATAGCTGCCAAAGGCAATGACAGAAGCCCAGATTAATGTGAGCATCATAATGGTTGATCCTGCGAGTATCGCCATGGAGATTGTTTCCTTTGTGTCAGCAGTTTCTTCGCTTGCTGAAACCCCATTAAGTAGAACCAATATGACTTGTGGGAAGATGCCGAGAACGTTGAACAAACTGGCACCAAAAATACCAGTTCCGAACGTTTGAAAGAAGAGATTAGAGCCGCTGGAAATGAAGTGTTGCGAGAGGGATAACAGATACTCATAAACCACCAAAAGGAATAGCTGCACCCATAGCCTTGTTGTGCAAGGTAAAAAGCCGTAAGTCGGCTCACAGGTCACCGTCGTCGTAGGAAGATGTTCGAGAACCCAAGATTCCTTTGTTCTATCCATGCCGTCGGAGACAAGATGGGCTTTCTCTTTATTAATGATGATTAAGATGAGTAAAAGAACGGCTATTGTGAACTCAAACTTTTCCATGGAGGAGCACTGTCGTGTTGCTGGAGCAAAGAAAACTTACGAAGGGGACGATTCTGGGAATTAATTCAAATTAAAGAGGTGGACGCCCAGACGTTGAAGTACACAGCTAATCCAACTACTACCGTTGATAAAATTGCAAATGCTTTCAAAGACAAAGGATTCATTTCATCCACTCAAAACCAAACACGTATAGGTTTATGATTTTAAAATACTTTAGTAGGGATAATTATCATGTTTATCATATTCATAGGTAGAATGAAAGAATAAAGTGACTTTAAAATATTATTATACATCTAGAACCAGATGTTTAGACGTTCGAATTCTGATTTTACAATTAAAATTATAAAAAAAAAAGTTGGTATAACTTCAATTTCTTTTAATAATAAACTTTTTCTTTTAATCTGAACATAAACGATTCTCTTCTACAAATGTATTTCCTAATCTTCTTTAAAGAAATAACATTCCAATTGATCTTACTACGATTTTATAAACAACTATATTTAAACTTGAACAAAAATTCAAACAAATATATTCTATTAAACTCAATTTAATTTTTTTTTTTTAAATGATGTTCATAAGTTCAACTAATTTTGATCGAATACTCACCCTGGGTACATGGCATCAAAAATTCAATGGCTTCATTCAGAAATTCGGAAAACTCAAACTTTGACATAACAAGATAAATGCTATGGGTCAGAATAATTTATCCAGCAAATAACTGGAATGTAAAGCAAACTAAAATAACACAACACATAATGCTAAAATGTACACAAAGTGAGTTTTCTCCTATTCATTCTCGTTTCCTTTTGATCTACAAAGTACAACCATAACATTCTTTCCCACTCAGATGCTGGATTCTGAGTCTTCATAGGGGAAAAGGGGGTTACCTTTGGTCGGCGATTTTTCGAGGCAGTTAGTGCATATTGGGATTCTGCCGTTGCTGCTGATAAAAGTGCGGTGCAACTTCGGTTAACCAAGAAGGTTCAATGGAGATGACATTGCGCATGTATTGCCGGTCCGTGGAGACGAGAGAGTGATACAACACACACTTCGGATTTACCCTGCAGATTCATAAAATTCAAAATGAGATGACTCATAGCATTCAATTAGTTGCAAGGAAGATTGCAAGATCCGGTATCGATTTGTAAAGACGAGAATTCTTTCTTTTAAAAAATAATCATCTTTAACCAGAATTCAATTTGCATGTGTCTGGCCGAATACAGCATTCGAAGAGCTTCTAGCATAAGAGCACCCGTATATACTAAATTCGGTCTCGATACTAACCTGAATAACACAGATGAAGGGTGAATATAAACTTCCTGGGAACCTCTAACAGTCTTGTACATCCCACTTTGACTGTAGGCCTTTTGACAATATAGGCAACAAAACTCGATTGGCTTCAGAATTCGGTTCTAAAAAGAAACCAAAATATTTAATGAAAAGCAAGTAGCCATGAAAATTACCTCTAAACGGCATGCATTAGCAAAAAAACCAGCCGTGATTGCCTTTCTCACCAACTGAAACAAGAACATTATAAAACTTCATTCATCTCGTTCGAAAACATATGACAAAAGATTACTTGAGCCAAAAACTAAAGGACCAGCCTCTAGGGACGTTCGAGTCCCATTTATAGAGCACACAGTGATCCCGTGTTCTCTCCCAATGGAATCAGTGGCTACAATTGTCAGAAAATAGATTCCTAAATTATGAATATTATGAGTAATTAAGATAAGATTCTGTAAATATTCCTTGGTAGTTGTAATCCCTAACTTTAAGGGATTGTGTATTCCTTAGAATTAGCTACTTTCCTAGCTTAAGAGTTTCCTAAGTTAAGGCTGCTACTTGTATAAATATTTAACACTACCTACAGCAGAAATGCATGAGTTTTATACAGAATTTCATTGTTTTTAACATGGTATCAGAGCCATTTTAAGCTCATTTCTGGGTCCTGTTAAGCTCGTTTTGCAACCCTTTCCCTTTAGTTGATCTTTCCTTAAGTGCGTACTATTATCCGAACAAAAAAGATGGTCGAAGTGGCCGATACCAGCAGCACTGAAACTGTCCAAGGAGGCAATGGAAGTGAAGGGAGTTATTCCAATTCTGTAGGTGACTTGCAAAATATACAAGCTGCCTATAGGTTGAATGAAAAAAATTACCTTAAATGGTCTCATCTTGTTTGCACGTTCCTAAAAGGTAGAGGCAAGTTAAGTCATCTACTTGGGACTGGACCTAAGGAGATCTTAGGTTCAAATTTTGGGATGAACAAGATTCATTAGTAATGTCCTGGTTATGGAATTCCATGGTGTCAGAGATTAGCGATACATGTATGTTCCTTAATACAACCCAAGAGATATGGGAGGCTGTAAAACAAACACATTCAAAGGTTAAAGATGGTGCCCAGATTTATGAAATCAAGACCAAGATTTCATCCACCAAGCAGGGAAGCAAGTCAATCATAAAATATTCTAACCTACTGCAGAATCTTTGGCAAGAAATGGACCACTACCAGTTTATTCAGATGAAGTGTAGCGAAGATGCAGGTGCCCTAAAGAGGTTTGTTGAAAAAGAAAGAATTTACGATATTCTTGCTGGACTAAAAGTTTAGTTTGATGCAATAAGAGTACAGATTCTTGGAAAAGAAGACCTACCATCATTGAATGAGACTATTGTAATCATTCGAGCTGAGGAAGGAATGAGAGGAGTTATGATTGAAAGCAATCAAGAGGAGAGTTCAGCCCTGATCGCTAAAGCTATAACTGAGAGAGAAACAGGTCTAGAAAAGCAAGGTACAAAAAAGATAGCAAAAGCTGTAAACATAGACTCTCTATGGTGTACCTACTGCAAGAAACCTCGTCACACAAAGGTGAAGTGCTGGAAACTTCATGGAAAGCCACAGACAGTGGGTAAAATTTTTCCAGAAAAGGAGGGGTCATCAAGGGGTCAAGGAAGAGCATATAAAACTAAACAATTGGTTGAGGACTCTCAAGAACATCTTGTGGAGTTCAACAAAGAGGAAATAGAGAAACTGAGAAATATTTGGGCTCCCTGGACAAAAACTCCTCTGCAGGTACATGTAGTATGGTCTTCTCAGGTATATCCTCCTCTTCTCAGCACTCTAAAACCTTGGATTTACCCATCCAAAACTCCTGGGTAATTGACTCAGGGGCTACATACCACATGACCAATTCATCACTCAAATTTACAACCTCTACACCTTGTCCTAGCAAAAAAAAAACTGTGGCAGATGGCACTATGATAACAATGGTTGGTCAAGAGGAAATTGTTATAAGTGAAACCCTTACTTTAAAAAATGTCCTTCATGTACCAAAGTTATTTACTAGCCTCTTATCCATTCAAAAAAATCATCAAAGACACTAACTGCAGTGTTCTTTTTCATTCTACCCAATGTATTTTTCAGGAACAAGGAACGAAGAAGATGATTGGACGTGCTAGAGAAGAAAATGGTCTATGTTACCTTGAAGACCCCGGTGGACAAGTCAGTGCCTTGAATTCCCCATCTTTTTCGCTTTTATCAGAATCCAAAACAAATAAAGATCAGATATGGCTTCACCATCTCCGTCTTGGTCACCCATCCTTTACAACTTTAAAGCTTATGTTTCCTTCTTTGTTCAAATCCTTAAATAGTGAGGAATTCCACTGTGATATATGTGAACTTGCTAAGCATGAACGCTCTTCTTTCCCAGTTAGTAATAAATGAACTTCAAACCCCTTTACCTTTATACACAACAATGTTTGGGGGCACTCTTTTCCTCCCTCCAATAGTGGATCCTTTCTGCTGGGAAAGGGCTATCTATGAGGGAGGTTTTTAATGAGGCCTCCTATTCCTATAAAAAAAAACAATGTTTGGGGGCCATCCACAATTCCTAATATAACTGGGGCCTGGTGGTTTGCCTCATTCATAGATGATTGTAGCCGAGTGACATGATTATTTCTTCTAAAACAGAAATCAGATGTGAGTTAAAACTCAGTTGGGGACAAAAATAAAGAGGTTTAGATCAGACAATGCTAAGGACTATTTCAACAAAGTCATATCTCCCTATTTTCAAGAAAAAGGAATTATTCATGAGTCCTCGTGTGTAAATACCCCCCCAACGTTTGCCCTTATTGCAAAGATGAATACTGTGAGAATTTTATTGTCATTAGCTGCAAACCAAGGATGGGAATTACAGTAGTATGATATTAAAAACGCCTTCTTACTTGGAGATCTCGAGGAAGAAGTTTAAATGGACATTACACCTGGATTTAGTCCAAGTGCTGGGTAGAATGTGTGTAGGTTAAAAAAGGTTTTATATGGATTAAAGCAGTCTCCAAGGGCCTGATTTGGAAGATTTACTAAAGTGATGTTGAAGCTGGGCTACAAACAAAGTCAGGGTGATCAGACTTTGTTTGTGAAACATCC